ATTTCAGAACTTTTGGACACATTCTCTCCGAGATATGAAGCTTTAAAAAAATGCATGCTTTATACGCTATCTATGGAAAACGGCTTATACGTTGAAAGCTTCATATCTCGGAGAGAATTTGTCCAAAAGTTCTGAAATTTTTTATGCAAACTAGTCTAGCTGAGATGTTTATGTGGGCAAAGTTTCAGATCAAAATTCAAAAATATGGCCTTGCTGCAACTGTGGGGTCTTATAGGAAAAATTCACTAAAACCTCGATATCTCACTAGGAACAAGCTAGGGGCACGAACGTTTTTTACGGCAGACATAATTCATCAAGGCCTACAAGATGTGCAAAGTCCCTACTCAAAAGCGTTCCAACATCCGGGAATGTTCCCTCGTTAGCTAAATTTCAATATGCATTCAAATCCTTTTACGGTTTTTACAATGACACTATGCAGTATCTGTAACTGAAAATTCATTGAAATACGAAGGGGCACCTAGGAAGGTTCTCTCGTAAATAAAGAAATTGTTTTATGTAATTCACTATTTTTGAGTTTCAGTTGTTCGCTCGCAAAACCAGTCGAGCACATAGGTCTTATCTACAGAGTTATGACTAGAAAGGTGCTACCGAAGTTTGACGGTTTATGGAAATCAGGATCATGGGAAATATTTTTATAGTTTATAATTAAATGTTCTATAGTTTTAAGTGAATTATTATATCAATGAGAATATAATTCCAGAGATATGACTCAAAACAAGTACTAATCGTCAACTAAATAAATACAAATGACAAATAAATGTAATACGAATCAATTCTGAAAAATAAGTGTCTCTAAATCGCGATCAGAACAAAAAGAAAAAAGCTTGAGCTGTTGGTATGGCAACGGAATCAGAGATTTTCGATTTAAAAATTTAGTCTACATTTAGATCTTATGATCGTACAAGAATTTTCAGAAAATATGTGATAAAATTTCGCTCATCTTGTACCGTGCGAGTTTTATCATCCTTGTCAATAATTAGTGAACTTGAAAAGATTTTTAAAATATTGTGACAAAGATTGAAATGACTCCATAACTTATTCGATAGCTAGAATTTGCAAACGTAACGAAAATCTGTACTGCCTGTGGTGGCAAAATAGATTTGTCTATTTTTGGAAAATTTATTACGAACCCGAGAATTTCTAATAAACTTCGATAGTCATTGCTCAGATTAACAACTGTTGCTAGCGTAGGCACCAATGACAGCAAAAAACATTCAACAATTTTTCTGAACTGAATACAAAAACATTTCTGCTACAAAGAACTACACGACGATATAGAATATTATAGGAGTCTGTGCTAATGTTTGCTTCGCAGTAAATGATTTGAGTTCTGGATAAATTTATGAACTTGTCTCAAAGTTTGACTTTCAAGTAAAACTTGTTAGGAAAAATTTACATTACATCTAGTCAGGTAAATAGTTTCCTTACAATTAACTACAGTAGCTGTATCATTTGCGATATTTTAATCTCATACAGACTGTTCTAAAATCTTTCTTTTCTTAAAGTTTATTAATTTTCATTTGAATTTAGACCATTTCTTGATCATCGTACAACAAACCATGTAAGTTATTTAAGAGAAGATTTTTTGTTTCTTTGTTCAATAATTATTTTTGTTTTTAGCTTGATAATTTTAGTAATTCTAAATTAGAAGAATGCTTAAAACAAAATGAACGAATTAAAAATGAATTAGAAATTCAAATAAAGTAAAATAAAACATTAAACAATTTTCTATAAAATTATCTTGTTTTATATGTGTTTAGATGTTTACATGAAGATTTAAATGCTAAATGTGAAAATGAAAAAAATTTAAATAGTAAATTATATGAACTTGAAAGAAAAAATGTTGTACTTACAACAGAAAATAAAGAAGTTTGTTTAATATAATTTCATTTTTTTGTTCAAAAAAACAAAGAAACAAGAATATTTATTTAATTAGATTCAGCGAAAATATGAACGTGAATTAGAAAATCGTCAAACATTTGAACGTAATTTAGAAGAAACTCAGTGCTTACTTGATGATGAGCGTCAAGTTAAAAATCTAACGGATATTACAAATCGAGAATGGACAGATAAATTAACTAATCTTGAACGACAAGTAAAAAAAAACAAGTTCTCAATTTTCATTTTTTGTTTCGGTATTAATAAATTTCTTTTCTTTTAGTTAAATGAAACTAATGATAAACTTAAAATCGAACTTAATAGTAATATACAATTAAAAAAACAACATCAAGATATTCAAAAATATTGTACACAACTTGAACGTTCATATAATGACATACAGGATGAATATCAAGAATTAATTGCAATTAAACTTAAACTTGAAAAAGATATTATTACTCAACAACTTAATATCGATCAAGAAAAGACTGTTGAATGTATGACATTAGATAAAATTCAAGAACTTGAAGGTTAGGGAACATTTATATTGATAATAGAAAGTTGGTACGTGTTGGAAGAGATAGCATAAAGGGAGTTCATATTATTACACTTTTGTCATC